TCAAGTTATGACCAGTAACGGCTGCGTGATTGACCGAAGGACTATGAAGCAAAAATCGAACGAATATGTTACGGGCCGCACCGAAGCCTTTCCATAGGGATTGCTTCCATGTTATAATTTATTAATGCCGTTAGCTCAGGGAAAAGATACCGGAGAGGCTTTTAACTGTGTCCCCTAAGGTATCGACAATATGCTTCCATTTTTCCTTACTATAGCCTCCGTTCCAAAAGATACCTTTCGGGGTACTACACGCTGCTGTACAGCTTCAAGGTTTTCCACGCCAACCTATTCGACAAACTGTACATGTTCACTTAGACATTGAAGGTAAAATATTTCCCAGACCACCATCTAAGGCAAAACAAGTCGATAATGCACACGTCGATAAGCACAACTACTCCGGCAATGGTGATTAATAAGTACTGTTAAGTGGGGAAAAACGGGGTGGACTTAACCGCTCCAACGCCAACATCAGACCAGGAAGAGTCGACGTCTCTAGACCAAACTTTCAAAGCAAGCAGACGTCACAGTCGGCTTTAACTGTAAGGGCTATGTGCAGTAGAAAGTAGTGTTGCAGTGTTTCGCTACATCCATCACCAGCATGTTATACTATTACTTGGTTTGACATTTTAAGCTCGATATTCTTGCCAGTTATAAAGGGTAAGTAATGAGTACTAGCCACAACTCGGTTTGAAGTGGAGAGTGGCAATATCCGAAAGGGGCTACTCCCAGTCACCTCAAAACTGCGTCATGCGATGCTTGAACAGTCGGACTATATGATCCTGAAAATGCCATAGATAAAAAACATCACACTAAATATCTAGATACCTTTCTTAAATGAAAGGCAGTCCGCAGATGCCAAATAACTTATTTTGAGTATATTTATCCAAAAGCGATTTCCCACTGTGAAATGCTGATGCGATTCGATACATAAGTAACCTTTAAAACCTAGAATGGTTTAACTTAACCGAAAAAATACCGGTGCCCTGTAAATAAACGTTTCTCGGTGGCTGCTTGAAGTTCTTTCATAAAACCCGGTAGTGTTTCACTGGAAACACCCTTGTTTGCGATTTTTCGCGAAATCTTCACTGGTTATTTTCTTTCCTCGAGTTAATAAGGAATGGTGGTTTGTTTTCACCCCTTCCGTAAAATAAACGTGAGCGGAGATGCGTGCCTATACGGGCTTCCCAAACGTCAAGAATCACTATTTCGCACGCACGCGAACCCAGGTGGTGTTCTGCAAATCCCCATAGACCGTCTCTGAACTCCAGTTAAGGCCGAGTAAACAAGATTTTTACGCCAACGGAATGAAGCTATGTCAGCGTACCAGGACGCTGATTTGAGGAGCAAGTATTAATCACCACGTCTCCACCAATCAGCCGTCGCCCTTGTACAGGCACGTGGCGGCGGAATATGCGTACGTGAGCGCGC